AATCCCTATCTGGTTACACATTCAACACCATTGATGGCTTGTTATTCACACAACCAGCGTCGTCCTGACTATCGACTCGTGACATCTATTTGCAATAGAAGCTAGGTAAAATGAGCAAATACGATTAGGCTATGCTATATAATTGACAACATTGGCATGGTTTTATACAATGTTGGCACCGTGAGTGAATTGGCTATTTGTTTGGGGTGATAGCGTCGTTCGTGGGGAAAAATACAGTGGCTTGACAGAGGAATTTTTACCCAGCAGGCATTTCGATTCTTCACAAACGCTGGTGTTTTACCACCGATTTTACAGCGGCTATCCTAGGGTAATGGCACAATACACGATTTACGCAGTAAGGCGCATTCAAATAATTCTTACAAGAGATTATTTCAGTATCATACCATTTAGTGTATTCTAATATTTGATCTGCTGCGGTATTGTGAACGAACTGACAATTGTCCAGCATCTTACGAGATGGGATGCGTTAATTTAATAAATGTATGGTAAAAACAGCATTGGTCTTATGCCTATCAATGCTTCAAGACAATTTTTTGCAAATGTCAATAACAACAACCAACTATCCCATTTTTGAATGGCATCATCTATTCCCATGGTAAAATAAATGTGAATGGGTGTGAACGTGCATTCATTCTCCTTTCCTATGCATTCATAGGGATACGCTGCTGACAAGCTGCAGTGCTCTGCCTAATCAAAACACGGCATAAACACACGCCTTTCGTTCTCTTTCATGTACAGGCCCGTTAAATGACGGGGTACCGAGAGGTGTGGACATTTTAAAGTGCACAAAAATGCCAGTAAAATCCTGCCTTCGAGCGGGCGCGCCCCCGGGCTTGCTGGCTTGCGCCCTTGACATAGCCGCGGCGAGTTGCTTCCTGTCATCCTCGCTGAGTTGGCTCAGGTCCACCTGTGCCCCCGTGGAGATCCGAATGAAGCCTCCTTTCCCGTCCGGTGCGAGCCCCTCCGGTAATCCAGCAAGCAACCCTTCGCCGCCTTCGAGGCTCGCTTCGTTCCCCATGATGGCCCCCTCCCGCCGCCCCCCGTTTGGATTTCGACGCGACGCTCTGCGTTTTTAGCTCCAAAGAACGCGGTGAAAGGCGGTGAAAACGGCCCCCCTCGGCTCTGCGTGCATCTCAAATTATTTCTCCATCTTTACATCGCCCTCTCCCTCGTTCTCTCGGTTCTGTGTTGATATCGCGCATCTCTTCTGGCGATGGAGGATGGTTTTCCGTGCGGGTCTCTCTTCAGTTCTAGCCTACTACACCACATCCTCTCCCTCTCTCTCTCTCTCCCTGCGCTCACAAACGCGCATGTACCACTTCTGACAGGTGATCAGAACACTTCACTGAAGGAAAAGATGTAGGCTTTAAAGGGGACAACGATAACAGTTAAATACATAACGGGTAAACTACAGAAGAGCTCTTTTTAGTTCAAAGGGGCAAGTGTATTTCCCTTTGCTAATTTGTAAACTATACAACAATGACATGACCTAAGCTGCTGACTATTGCATTCTATAATACCGGAATTTTTCCTCGCGTCTGGTTACATTTAAATATCAAGATGATCATGTCATCTTGAAGTAGGCCTACAATGAGTGGGTTCAAGTGTTTAGGGGGTCACACATCCAGAAGTATACAGTCGTGGTCAAAAATTTAGAGAATGACACAAGTATTGGTCTTCACAAAGTTCGCTACTTCAGTGTTATGAGATATTTTTGTCAGATGTTACTATGGTATACTGAAGTATAATTACAAGCATTCCATAAGTGTCAAAGGCTTTTATTGACAATTACATTAAGTTTATGCAAATATTCAATATTTGCAGTGTTGACCCTTCTTTTTCAAGACCTCTGCAATCCGCCCTGGCATGCTGTCAATTAACTTATGGGCCACATCCTGACTGATGGCAGCCCATTCTTGCATAATCAATGCTTGGAGTTTGTCAGAATTTGTGGGTTTTTGTTTGTCCACCTGCCTCTTGAGGATCGACCTCAAGTTCTCAATGGGATTAAGGTCTGGGGAGTTTCCTGGCCATGGACACAAAATGTAGATGTTTTGTTCCCCGAGCCACTTAGTTATCACTTTTGCCTTATGGCAAGGTGCTCCATCATGCTGGAAATTGGTCATCACCAAACTGTTATTGGATGGTTGGGAGAAGTTGCTCTCGGAGGATGTGTTGGTACCATTCTTTATTCATGTCTGTGTTCTTAGGCAAAATTGTGAGTGAGCCCACTCCCTTGGCTGAGAAGCAACCCCACACATGAATGGTCTCAGGATGCTTTACTGTTGGCATGACACAGGACTGATGGTAGCGCTCACCTTGTCTTCTCCGGACAAGGTGTTTTCCGGATGCCCCAAACAATCGGAAAGGGGATTCATCAGAGAAAATGATTTTACCCCAGTCCTCAGCAGTCCAATCCCTGTACCTTTTGCAGAATATCAGTCTGTCCCTGATGTTTTTCCTGGAGAGAAGTGGCTTCTTTGCTGCCCTTCTTGACACCAGGCCATCCTCCAAAAGTCTTCGCCTCACTGTGCGTGCAGATGCACTCACACCTGTCTGCTCTCATTCCTGAGCAAGCTCTGCACTGGTGGTGCCCCGATCCCGCAGCTGAATCAACTTTAGAAGACGGTCCTGGCGCTTGCTGGACTTTCTTGGGCGCCCGGAAGCCTTCTTCACAACAATTGAACCTCTCTCCTTGAAGTTCTTGATGATCCGATAAATGGTTGATTTAGGTGCAATCTTACTAGCAGCAATATCCTTGCCTGTGAAGCCCCTTTTGTGCAAAGCAATGATGACGGCACGTGCTTCCTTGCAGGTAACCATGGTTAACAGAGGAAGAACAATGATTTCAAGCACCACCCTCCTTTTAAAGCTTCCAGTCTGTTATTCTAACTCAATCTACATGACAGAGTGATCTCCAGCCTTGTCCTCGTCAACACTCTCACCTGTGTTAACGAGAGAATCACTGACATGATGGCAGCTGGTCCTTTTGTGGCAGGGCTGAAATGCAGTGGAAATGTTTTTATGGCAAAGAGGGACTTTGCAATTAATTGCAATTCATCTGATCACTCTTCATGACATTCTGGAGTATATGGGAATTGCCATCATCAAAACTGAAGCAGCAGACTTTGTGAAAATTTGTATTTGTGTCATTCTCAAAACTTTTGACCACGACTGTACACACACACACACACACACACACACACACACACACACACACACACCTAAATGCCAGTGATATGCCATTATAGCCTTGTAGTTCTCTGGGTCAAGTGTGCAGGTGTGCATGCTTTTGTTCCAACCAAAACACATGTTCAAAATATTATTAAGACCTTGGTTGATTTAATTTGTTTAACTTAATTGTGTTAATGCAGGGCTGAAACTAAACCCTGCACATAATGTAGCTCTCCACTACCAGAGTTGGTGAACACATCCCTAGGCGAACATGGGGCTTGGACGAGACTCCATTTCCCAGAGTGCATCACGGTAGCTGGGTCTGTTTATCTTAACTGTACTGAACCTCAATTAGCTGCTTTTTCCTCATACCCTTGACACTATTCAATCAAATCCTATGACCAGGTTTTGGGGTGAAGTTCTGGTACAATTTGGATTCATGTACCAAGCAAAAATAACGTTTATAGTGTGGAAAACCAGAAACAGTTTTTGATTGAATAGGGCCCTTGTGACTTGACTGATACACTAATACGTGTAAACAGTTTGTTATTTACTCTGCATAAACAGTTTGGTATTTACTCCGAATTTATTAATCTACATATAATAATAATGAAGTGGGTGCTTACATTTGTTCTATTTCACACATGTACAATTGGACATTTGTTTTCTGCATATTCCACTCCCCCTGAGACAGGAATCAGCCATTATTGACGGTGACCCTGGAGCAATTAGGGTTAAGTGTCTTGCTCAAGAGCACATTGACAGATTTTTCACCTAGTCGGCTCGAACCAGCAACCTTTCGGTTACTGGCCCAACGCTCCAAACAGCTAGGCTGCCTGCTGCCCTAACATGACACCTAGTTTATGGGGAAAATATGTACCATTCTTTTAATTCGTAACAGATTTATACATAATATTCTCTAAAAACTATCCACAAGATGAAAACTATTCAGCACAGTTATAGCTCAAGCGCAATTCCACACTTAATTCCTCCACGCGCATCCTGGAAATGATTCTAAGTCTATATTTAAAGCAGGCATACCTTCCAGATCACTGTGCTTTCCATCAGTGGGATGCGCTGTAATGTGACATTCAGTGCTTATTCACAGTTTACAGAGCTCCAGGCTGGATGTGTCCTCTGCGTACCCAGCTTTAGGCTTGCCCTCCCTGGGTAACAGCAGAGGAGAGGTCCTAGGGTGGGAGAGTTATTGCTGTGAGCAATTTCTCTACAGATATCTTGTTATTGGCTACGTTTCAATCCAAAAAGATCCCTTGGCCTAAATTCATTCACCTCATGGATAGAAACAACTGGGTAAGTGTAATCACTTGCTCCGTCTAGTTCCCACCATGTTGCTTTCACCTATCCAGCCCGATCAGACCTGTGAAGGGGAATGAACGAAGGCAGAGGGGAGGGAACATCTTTTTGGAATGAAACGCAGCCATTAACAGTGCTGGTTTACTTGTGTTTATTATAGCATTGTATGGTCATAATGTTTATTATAGCATTGGATGGTCATTGTGTTTATTATAGCATTGGATGGTTGTTGTGTTTATTATAGCATTAGATGGTCATTGTGTTTATTATAGCATTGGATGGTCGTTGTGTTTATTATAGCATTAGATGGTCATTGTGTTTATTATAGCATTAGATGGTCATTGTGTTTATTATAGCATTGGATGGTCATTGTGTTTATTATAGCATTGGATGGTCATTGTGTTTATTATAGCATTGGATGGTTGTTGTGTTTATTATAGCATTGGATGGTCATTGTGTTTATTATAGCATTGGATGGTCGTTGTGTTTCAGTTGAACAGAACAGTCTTCTGCGTGTTTCTATTGTAAACATTGTAAGGCAGTAGACTCCTCCTCTCTCTGTAGTCTCTCTCTCTCTCTTGACCTTTCCATCTCTCTCCCTTCTCCTTTCCATCTTCTCTTTCCTCCCTCTCTCCCTCTCTCCTGCTCACTACGCTCTTCCTCCCCTCTACCCCTCTCCCACTCTCCCTTTCATTTCCTCTATTCCTCCTCCTCCTCCTCCCCTATCTCTCTCACTCATCCCTTCCCTCTCTCTCCCCCGTCCTTCCTCTCCCTGGTGGTGACGGTGTGGGTGTGTGTGTAGATGGAGGTGTGTTTTAGGCAGGCGCTGGTTGCTGTCTCCAGTGATAAACGATGGTATTGTACAGATAGCCTTCCCCACACTGGGCTGGCCACTGGAGCGAGCCCTGATGGCCTCAAGCCCGTGGAGCGGAAACAGCCCATACGCGTTCACACACACACACATGCATGCACACTACAAACACACAGACACACACATACGCGTTCACACACACACACACACCTACAGTAAGTGTTCACTGAAATATGCAACCAGTGAACATCCAATCACCAGCCTTGCCAATTCCAAGGCAAATCCCTCCCACTCTGCAGCAACAGGTGTCAGAATCAGAAAGTTATTTTCATAAAGACAGAGGAGTCACATACCTTTACTTTGTCGGTGTGTATATCCTGTGTATGTATCCTCTACTATCCTCTCTGTGAACAGGTTCCTCAGTGGTTCCTCAGTAGCACTAGCCCTGCGAGCAGAGCAATGTTTAATTAGTGGTATATTAGTCCTGAGCCCTTTACATTCCCATTAGCAACCTGCCACGCGCCTAACTCCGCCCTTAACGCCAGATTCTCCTGACCGCTGACCAGAGAGAAGCCCTGAACTAAAAATACTTTTAAAGGAACAGTGTATTCTCTCTACCTCCTTCTCTTTCAAGACACACCTCATAATCCTCTTTACTCTGAGAGATAGGCCAATCACCAACTATCCTATAATCTATTCTTGTACACCAGTGAAGTTCAGTCTGTCACTCAGACGACTCCAACTAGGGGTCAATATCTGGGGTCAAATTCCAACTTTCATCAGGTAAAATTACATTCATATTCAGATCTGACTGAACTGAAACCCAAATCTGAGAAACACCTTTGCTCATTGTATAAAACCATCAGTCAACTCCTAAAGCAAACACCACTGAACATCCCAACATGAGTAATACCGCTAGGGCGTATTTCAAAACATGTATACAATATGCATACTGTTGCGTTCAAGCAGCTCGCCGTCAACAGTGTACTGCATCTTTCCCTCTGTCTGAGAAAACCAAGTAGTTGAATTCAACACAATGCCTAGACAGCCTTCTGGTTACAAAACGTATCTATCTAAACTCTTTGTTCCTCGCACACTCCATACTGCCAAACAGATTTACAGAGCTCTGGGTCATGTTTATTAGGCACCACACAAGAGAAAACAGAATGAAAAAGGGAGAGACTAACTTGAGCTTGTCCAATGAGAAATGCTCATTTTTTATTAACGTTGCAAAACGTTTTGCTACGGTGTGTCCTAATGAATACGACCCTGTTTTGGTGAAGTATGATGACGTTGCCCCTAAACACTGATGCTCTAAGGTCGGTTTTGCGTTTTCCTCCTAATTGTCAAGGTTAGGGTTGGGGAAGGGTAAGCTGATAGATCTGCAGATCAGAGCATGCAGGCATTGTCTGCCAGGATTTGTTTTGGTGCTCTGATCTCACCAAGGGGGTGAGGGTGATTAGTAAAGGACATCAGGTTCTTCTGTTCTTAATGGGATTTACAGGTCAGAGAAGTCCCTGGTTGCATTTCCCTGTTCGGATGTTGCATGAATCAACCAATGGTTGCGTGCCATGTCATCGACCGTGTCATTGACTGCCAGAATGCTATAACATATGATGTGCTTAGTTGATACATCAAATTCGAGACTTTTAGTTCGTCTCGAAGGGGGGAAATGTCGTGTATTAGGATTATGCCTTTGTTAATGTTTTAAGTGGAACCAGAGAGGACGTTAATTTTAGTATCAAGAGGGAATGTTTTAGTGTAACGCCACATACAACAGACAGGAAGTGTGTTGTAGACAGGGGAGACTGGTGATTGGCCAGAAGAGGGAGCACCCCCCTTTTTGCATTGTTTATAAGTAGGGGCTAAACGAAGAAGAAGTTAGAACGGCCATTGCAAATCTGGGACGCCGTTATCCGGATGTCATGACATCTGTCACTTATGCTGAAGCTTGTGATATGAATAAACCTTATGATCCAAGTTCAGTATGAGCGGACTCCTTTGTTTATCAGCAATAATTGCCAGCATTCACCCGATACGACAAAAGGACAACGTGTTGTCTTATGTAAACAAAGTCGGAGTTCTGGGGAGTGCTGGACAGTTTCACTGTCACCGCAGCTGTTCACCCTATGTTAGTGGGCAAATGGACATCGTCAAATCAAAACCCAACCTTCAAACTCCATTTTAGACGAGACTGACTACTTACAGTTTGTAGTCAATTTTGACAAGAAAATAACTGTTTCTGACTCATGTCGATGATGCATAGGCCGTTTTCAAAGGGATTCGTTGTTTTTTTAAAGGCAGTCACTCTTTAACACTGGACACTATAAATCTGTATTCCATCCACTAAGGAGAGTGGCCAGAGAGGAGCTATTGATCACCTCATCAATCCTAACCTATAGCAATCAACAGCCTCACAATCAAACCCCCAGTGGGGAAGATGTGTGATGGTGTGGGGGGTGGAGGAAGGTTGTGTGTGTCTGTGGGTGTGTATGTGTTTTACGAGGATGAATTGTGTGTGAATTTTGTTGCGATTAACGAGTGTGTGTGTTTATGAGGTGGAAGGGTGTGTGTGGTTGAACCTTGAGGGTTTGTGTGTACAATTGGATCCAACAGACATGAATACAGGATTCCCAGGGCTCACTGCATCCTCTCACACTTCTCCTGGGAATAACTATGGAAACTGGGAAGAGAGAGAGAGAAGATGGGAGGTCAGGATTATATAGCTGACCACTGTTAGAAATGTAAAACCATGTCTGCTTTTAGACCTGTACATGAGACCAAGTGGTGTTCTTGAAGTCGTCACTGTGCTGGGGCTGCTCACTACCTGTTAATGAGGTCTTCATAGGGCTCGGCCTAGACTCAAAATGAATGCCAGTGACTTCTCTGTAACTGGGGTTTTCTGCAAAGCAACCCCTTCAAGAGTCAAGTGTTGCCATGGCATCTGTGGACCCCTGCTGCCTGAGGGGTCGTAACTCTGGAGTGAGTGAGGGTTGGAAATCCCACATCTGTGTGTGTGTGTGGCTGTATTTCCAGTGTGTACTCAAGAACAGACTCTAGGTATCATTGTTTTACACTGTGCTTAACATTAGCCTTATGCTAAGTTGTGGGTCAACTGGGGTATAAAGAGAGAATAGGGTTCAGCTTGGTACAGATGTTGAGGGATGGAGAGGAGAAGAGATGATGAAGAGGTGATTAGAGAAAGCATGGGATGGAGAGGGAATTGAATAAATATAAATAAATCAGAGTGAAGAGAGAGAGGACATAAATAAATACATAGAGAGAAAGAGAACGAGGCAGAGAGAAGAAGAAGACAGATAGAAGGCAGCAAGAGAGAGAGAGAGAGAGAGAGCTAGAGAGGGAGGGAGAGAGAGCTAGAGGGAGTGAGTGAGAGAGAGAGCTAGAGGCAACGAGAGAGAGAGAGAGAGAGAGAGAGAGAGAGAGAGAGAGAGAGAGAGAGAGAGAGAGAGAGAGAGAGAGAGATAGAAGGCAGCAAGAGAGCGAGAGAGAGAGAGGGAGAGAGAGAAAGCTAGAGAGAGAGAGACAGAGAGAGAGAGAGAGATAGAAGGCAGCAAGAGAGCGAGAGAGAGGGAGAGAGAGAAAGCTAGAGAGAGAGAGAGAGAGAGAGAGAGAGAGAGAGATAGAAGGCAGCAAGAGAGCGAGAGAGAGAGGGAGAGAGAGCTAGAGAGGGAGAGAGAGAGAGATAGAAGGCAGTGTGAGAGAGAGAGAGAGAGAGAGAGAGAGAGAGAGAGAGAGAGAGAGAGAGAGAGAGAGAGAGAGAGAGAGAGGGAGGGAGAGAGAGATTTAAGTAGGTCTGTGTGAGCGCTGTCTGGTCACAGACCTGAATCTCCTCTCCCTGCTGACAGAGTTGATTTTTCCAGAATCCCTGGGGCCCACTCCTAGGCTGGGGAACGAGTGTGAGTCAGAGCTTCTGAAGAGTCCAATCTGGGAGTCGTGAGGAGACTGGGAGACACACACACAAATAGAAGACAAACACACACACACACACACACACATCAGAGACAATCACAGATGTCACATACACACATATATACACTTTAATTTTTTTGGGGGGTGACTCAGACGGGGTCTCAACTTACTATTGAGAGTTATAATAGTAGAATACACCAGATGCAATTTCTAAATTTGGTCGTGCATCAGCAGTGTTTCTCTTGTTATGTCACTCAATTAGCCATGTCAGGTAACAATTTATAGATTGGTAGTTAGTCCAGCCAGCTATCTAAACTTGTAGTAATCATGGCCGAATACCTGACCTCCAGGGGGCCCCATTGATTTTGTTAGTCATTCTCACTCAGTTATCATATTATCATATTATATCATGGTCGCGTTCCAGGTTGATGTTTTTGAAGTCGTGCTGCACGTTTCCGAGAATTTCTGTGTCACTAATGGGATTCCTGAGACATCCTGAGATCTGAGGTTGTATGTACCAAGCGTCTCAGAGTGGCTGATATAGGATCAGTTTTGCTTTTTAGATTATAATGAGTACGATTATATGGACAGGGGGGACCTGATCCTAGATCAGCACTCCTACTCTGAGATTCTTGATACATACAGCCCCTGATGATTAGCGCAATACAACTGCAAAAAAGACAACCTGGAACACCACCGATGTTTCAAGCAGTGAGGAAGTGGGTGCCTCTGCTTTGAGGAATCTAGGAGTTCATCTCAGTAGTAAAAAATGGGTTCCTCTCCCTTGTTTCCTCCATTGGCATCCACCATATTGCTTTCAATCTGTTTTCAGATGAAGAAGAGACGAGAGGAGGAAGCTACTTTAGACTATTGTGATGCACCCGAAGAGAGCAGTCACTGCAATGTCAATGACATAATAAACCCTGTGTTTAAACTGTCTTTATACAAAGGGATACAAATAATGTATACTGTAGTGTGTTGTCTATCATTGGTAGTCACATATCACACCATTCCAAAGGTGTGTGCATGCACGTACGCACACGCACACACACACACCTACAGCCCTTGTGCTCTCGGGGCAGTACCCATGGTAACGAACCCTGTGAATTCACTACACGTTTGTGACACTTGGGAACATAGATTGTACTGCTCTCATCAGTTAAACTGAGGTTTCCACACACACACTCTCTGTGTGACTGGATGGCTGCACCGTCTGAGTGTGTCTATGTGTGTGTTTGTGTGTGTGTGTCAGAGGGTTCAGGGAGTTTGTGCCCACGCAGAGAGTGGTAGAGAACCTTTTAAGGTACCTGCAGGGATTCAGTGGTAGAGCACTATTTTAGGTAACACACAGCGCCACTGTAGGCCCAATTATAGTGTAGATGACAACCTCACTAAGGCCTTTAGTGGCAGTGTGATAACTGGCAACTGCCTGTGGCTGCACACCAGTGTAAACGTACACACTATAGACATAGGTTACAACACAGTGCAAGACATTGTAGCTGATGAACATAAACAGCTGATGGTCATTGCATTCCAGTCACATAATTGATATACAGGGAACTTAGACTACTACCTAAAGTGTTAGAACAGGGGTGTTAAATTCATTCCATGGAGGGCCTAGTGTCTGTTGGTGTTTGGTTTTTCCTTTCAATTAAGACCTAGACAACCAGGTGAGGGGAGTTCCTTGCTAATTAGTGACCTTAATTAATCAATCAAGTACAAGGGAGGAGTGAAAACACGCAGACACTCGGCCCTCCGTGGAACGGGTTTGAGACATGTGAACTAGAATGACAACAGCTAAAATGTAACCCCTGAAAAGCTAGGTAGACATGGAAATCTATTGGGCCAGAGAATAGCGAACTCTTGTGGCTAAACCGAAACATTAACCTCCAGTTTAATTATTCATGTGTTTTTATCGACAAGGAATGCCTGACATACAGTATAACATATCAATTACCGTTTTTTAACACATCATTCCTGCCTTTAGTCAATGAAATCTCTCTATGGGAGCAGTGGTCAACCCACTGAAGGATGTGGACAGAGAGCTTGTGATTCTACTTCACTATTTACTATACTCACCACTGAGAGCCTGATCTATTGCCACTAATTGGTCTTTTAATCAATCAGATCTTTAGCCAATAATATCAGAATTGGGCTGCCTCTGCAGCCATTGTGATTCAGCACATACTGTACCTTAGAACTGAGTCACACCTTCAATTGGGCTGGTCTGAGTTCAGATGGTCTCCCCTGGTGAAGGAGTAGGCTTCACTGTCTATTGGAATGTATTTTTACAAACTTTTTTTCAAGAAGATATAATATAATTCACCATAATATAATTCCAGTAAAAAATCTGTTTTTCATCAGCTCAACCTTTTATCTGTGTGTTTGAGCATGCAAACTGACTGATTCCTCCCAGGCCCACCTGTGACTAAATATGATAAAATGGTACAATTTGAAATGACTGTACAACACAAACAAAATACATTTTGTCAACTCAGATTAACATGCATCATACAGTACCATATATAACTGGACAGAGGTTACAAAAAACAACAACAAGGCTAGGTTTTACAGGAAATGTTTAATTAGACAACTGAACGCATGCCAGGAAGAACCATATTACAGCAGTGGTATCGCTTCTCTCCTCGTCCACCCTACACACCGTGAGAGACTGGAAACATACCGCAAACCCCTGGGAAACCTTGCTATCTGCTGTCCATTATTGCATTGACACATCACTCTTGTTGTATACTGAGGGGGAAACACATTGTTGTATGAAAAGTTTAAGGTCTTAATACAAGTTTTGGGGTTGGAGTAACATTACTGGGGTGTATTCATTAGCAGACACCATAGCAAAACGTTTTGCTACAGAAAACGATTTGCAACAAAATTGTGCGTTTCTTATTGGACAAGTTCAGGCTAGTCCCTCCCCGTTTTGGCCTGTTTGCTTCTGTTTGGTTCCTAGTGAATACACCCCTGGTACATGTTTTGGCATCTTTGTTTTGGCAAAAAGGAAGAATATTCACATCTCTCTTACGCATCTTGCCTATAGGACTTTTACCTCTCACAGGAAACATCTAGAGACAATAGAAAAGATGCACTTAGGTAGTGTTCACATGCAGCTTTAACTCAGCGTCTTCTCCTCAGATTAGGTTTAGATTTTAACGTTTTCCTTACTAGTTCTTACATAGAAATTCACAGCTAATGTTTGTCAGGTTTTGGGTAGTATTATCTTACATACAATGAGTATTTGGGATGAGCGAATGAAAGTGTATGGGGTTCCAAACTCCAACAGAAAAACCTCCTGGGTAGAAAAATCACCCATTTCCGAAAAGAGCAGAAGGGACAGACACGTAGAAGAAGAGGGCAGGAGAAACTTGTGCTTATCATTCTGAAGGCTCTCAGTCTGGATACTATAAAACACACAACAACCCCCTGCTCCCACTCTTGACAGAGGAAGTCCATCCTCATTGGTCCATCTGTGTTTCCTTGACAGAGTCCTTGACAGAGGAAGTCCGTCCTCATTGGTCCATCTGTGTTTCTCAACGTGTCGCAGTTTTTTTTCTTGATTATTGATGAGCCAAAATACCAGAATATCAAAAATAAATGCAACCCTTTCACAAAACAATGAGAAATAAATAATCAAGTGGTGTTCTGGTTGTATATATTTACATACATAAAGAGTAGTTTTGTTGTTGTGTGTATATGTACAGGATCAATAGGCAGTCTGCTTTCCAGACTGAGCACGAACATATGACTGGAATTATAAGTTCACATGCAGCAAACTCCAGGAAAAAGAGCAAAGAAACAAAAATAACTTAAAGGGGTAGGTCAAAAATTCTACTACATAATTGTTTACCCTGACAGGGATGCAGTGGTTTGTAGGCAGAGTGAGAAAAGTAAATAGCAAATAAAAACAATAAATGTATTTTTCTTTTTATAGGACTCCTTTAACGTAAAAAAAAACTTTGTTCAAATTACATAGCAAGTAACTGGCGAGAAATAGCTTATTCAAATCATGAACATCGATTGACTACGACATGCATGATGCTTTTCAAGCCTTGGGAGGAAGAGAAGCTTGACTTTGTTGCACAGACCACAGGCTATTGTGGATTTTGTCGTTTTATATTGAATAATTCTGTTATTGAACTACAAACAATATGGGGGGCATCGTTGTGGATTGTCAACCAGCTAACTGTGCCCCATCTGTTTGACCTATAAGACAGTCAAGCTCTATGTACAAGCCCAAAGTGCTCATTCATGAGAGTCATTGTGAATCGAATCAATTGAACAAAGTTGAGCCGACGAACTGTATTGTGGGAATTGCAGTTCACTCTCCGAAAATGACTGTTCTTCTTTTGATTTATTTCTGTTGTAGTTTGCAATCGACTGGACAAATGATTCCTTATCCTTATAGTTCTTCCAGTCTCTATATAGTGGGCATCCTCTTCCTTCTCTCATGTGCATGTCAACAAGGCCAGTAGCTGCACTAACGGACGTCCCTACTGAACTTTAAAGTCTCAATCCCTTCTGAAATGTCCTGTGTCCATGCATTAGGCCATTGTCCAAACTTGTCCAGAGGTGTGTACATGTAACATGTATCATCCTCACTGAAAATAAATGTTTTTGAACCCCATCCCAGTCCTATAAGGAAGTAGCATATGTACAGGAGGGCTATGTGTCCGCCAGGCAACTCGGTCCCCCTTGCAACACGGACCTGGAATATACAGTTCCTCACATTGTACACCCTGGGCCAGTATATCCACATGGTTAGCAGGTACAGTACGTATACGATTCCAGTTTAGTCTCAGTCCATAACGTCCTTTTAGTCGCCAGTCTTCTCCAAGTCTTCACAGGGTATTTGCAGTGTGTGTGTGTGTGTGTGTGTGTGTGTGTGTGTGTGTGTGTGCGCGTGCGCGTGTGCGTGTGTGTGTGTGTGCGTGCGCTTTATGTGTATGTATAAGAGCATTCCATTGGGACGGTCTTTCTCTGTCTACATATTATGTGTGTATGAGCATATGTCCATGACTGTACTGCATTATGTGTGTTCCTACAGTATATCTTTATGGAATAGCAAGTCTATATTTTAACAGTATGTGCGTAAGTGTGTGTATGTCCGCGCATGTGTGTGTGTTGCTGTGGTCGTCTCAGACACTCCGCGGGGGTCTCTGTTGCTCGTGGGTCCTCCTGTTTCGCCCCTTCTTGTTCTCCTGCATCCGCCTCCACTTGGCCGTGTGCTGGGGTCCACCTCTGGCCCCCCCACCAGGCACCTGGGTCCCCCCCAGGTTTCCCCCCAGGGCGCCTTGGCCCTTCTGGGGGCTCTGGACGTTGGGTGTAGCCTGAGAGTTCTGGCCATTCTGGTTGTTGTTTTTAGGGGGCTGGGCCTGGGTCAGCGTACCCGCATGGAGTTGCACCTTCTGGGTGTTCGTGCTCCGGGGGCTCCCCTCTTTGCTCTGCTGCTGCACCATAGGAGACCCACTCTTCTGCTTCTGGGCATTGGGTGCACCTGCGCCAAGAGGACTACTTTTAGGCTTTAGGCCTGAGCTTGGAGCTCCGCCGTCAAGCCTATCCAGACTTTGGCCATTGGTGGTGATAGTGGGGATTTTCAGGCGCCGCTGTTTGCGCTCCTTCCGCCACACGCGCTCGCAGAACTCCTCCACGCTGTTCAGGTCAGGGTGGTCCAGGAGGGAGAGGAAATCCCTATACCACAGCTTGTGTTTTGTCGAGTGACCTGCACCAGCAGGCCCACCTGCACCACCAGACCCTCCAGCTCCACTAAGAGGCCCACCGGGCAGCAGCTCACCCAGCCTCTGTGTGGGGATGACCTGGAGGGAGAGGCGGAGGAGGGGCTGGATGAAGCCGTGCTCCACAGCGTGGCAGGTGTAGACGCCCGAGTCGGCCTGGGTGAGAGTGCGGATGAGCAGGCCCTGCTCCGTGCGGATCACCCTGTCCTCCGACTTGATCTGGAGAGAGAGATGGAGAACGAAACGAGGGGGAGGGGAGGAAAGGGAGGGGGATGAGGGAGATAGAGATATTCAATATCCATTCTATATGATTGCATTTGAGTGCATGGCAAACTGAAGCAATTTCACACGACTTCATTTTCATGTAAACACTGAGAATGGGTAATCGTTTATGAATGTTTAGTGTGATTGCAAAGTTATTGAAAATGATTGGGAAGTTGTTGAGAATGATCGTGAACAGGACACATCTTACATGCGTGTGTGTGTGTGTGTGTGTGTACCCACCTCCTGTTTGCGGTCCTCGTTGGGTCTCTGGAGCTGCCAGTAGATGAGGGCTCTCTGGGACTTGGGACTACACTCCAGGAACATGCTGCTGTTCTCCACTCCGTACACACTCCTGTCCTCCACATGACCCAGCCCGTCTACGTCATCTACACAGACGCAGGGATAGGGTTACAAGAGAGACACTACAGTGTGCGTGCGTGTGTGTTAATGTGTGTGGTGTGTGTGGTGTGTGGTGGGTGTGTAGGGGGAGGGTGGTGCATGTATGGGTTTTATGTGGGCACACGTGTGTATGGGGGTGAAGGTTGCATGTCTGCACGCACATGTGTGTGTATGAAATAGAAAGCGTAAAATAAAAATATAAAAAGCGTTTGTACCATGATGCTGCAGGTCAGAGCACTGGGAGAGTGGATCTCCATTCCTGATGTCCTGGCGTCTTGTTCTCCTATGAAACAACAAAAGAATACATTTACATTTGAGTCATTTAGCAGACGCTCTTCTTCAGAGCAACTTACAGTAGTGCGTGCATACATCTTTGTACTGGTCCCCCGTTGGGTATCAAACCCACAACCCAAGTGTTGCAAGCACCACACTCTAACCAACTGGAGCCACCCGGGCCAAGAAAAAAAAAAAAAAAAAACATCAATGTTATATTGTGTTGCCAATGAGTTAATAAACTTCCCTCACACACAACATATATAACATAACACCTATTTGTGTTGGTCAGGGGAGGCCACTCACTGCTCTATATTTCCTCAGACTTATTTCACTCCCCAGTTCCATCGAGTCGGGGCTCTTTGTACTGTGACGTTTATACCACTAGAGGGCAATCTTGACCAGTGGCACAGCTAACACATTTCTGCAGTACAACTGAAGAACCGAGTAGAACTGTTAATTTCATCAAATTCACCTCAGCCTCTGTTATGTCTAATCTATTGATGTGGTTGGAAGAAATAAAAAAGGAGAAAATCACATTTAAAAACATGTCAACCTTTTGCTCCAATTAAAGGAATGATTCATTGTGATTCATCGTTCAGGGACGTCATTACTAAACATTATGAAACACATTTAGCCTGGGCCTTGAAATCCCCCTATAAAGATCCTGACTAGGTCCTCCACGACTTGAAATGCTCGTTAGTCCGTACAGTGTGCGTGTGTGTGTGTGTGTGTGTGTGTGTGTGTGTGTGTGTGTATGCGTATGCATGTGTGTGCATGTGTGAGCTCCATGTACATGTTCGTGCCGATTGCGTGTCCGAGTCATGTTATAAGCCCGGTTTTTACAGCTGTGTTGTGGACGTTTTCACAACCTGGCTTTGTACTGGCTGACAGATAACCTGCCTCCCTGTGCTCCCTATGTGTTCCCTGGTTCTATGGTTCCCTGGTTCACCACCACTAAGATCATATGCTCTGACGTGTCGTAAAAATCAAAGGGGAGAGAGGGGAGCACAGCCAAAGGTGGAGGTCTCTAGGTCTCGTGTCAGGGGTTCCTTAACCATACAGGACATTTATAAGAGTGAGGCAGAGAGAGAGAGAGAGAGAGTAGAGGAGAGAGCGAGAGAGGAGATAGAGGGAGGCAAAGAGATAGAGAGAGAGAAGAAGAGAGAGAGAGAGAGAGAGAGATGAGCGAGAGAGGAGAGGGAGAGAGAGAGAGAGAGAAGAAGAGAAAGAGGAGAAGAGAGATAGAGAGAAGAGAGAGGAGAGAGAGAGAGGAGAGAAGAAGCGAGAGCGAGAGAGAGAGAGAGAGAGAGAGAGAGAGAGCGATAGAGAAGAGAGAGCGCAGAGCGCGGCGCGCGCCGCGCGCGCGCGCGCGCGCGCGCCTCGCTCGCTCGCTACCCCGCTCGCTCAGCCTCGCTCGCTTCTCGCTCGCTCGCTCGCTCGCTCGCTCGCTCGTCGCTCTCTTCGCTCGCTCGCTCAGCTCGGCTCGCTCACTCGCTCGCTCGCTAGCTCGCTCGCTGACTGTGGCGAGCGCGCGCGCGCTGCTCGCGCGCGCGAGTGCAGCCGGGCGCGGCCATCGAGCGTGAGGTGTGGCGTTTTCCGGTGAAACCGTTTGGAGCGATAGAGGAATGAAGCGAGGGGTGGAGTTAGAGGGAGGGAGGTTTGGTTTAGGCTGATTATTCCTGTATTGGATGGTCTCTTCTCTCTCTCTCTCTCTCTCTCTTTCTCTCTTCTCGCTTTCACAAACACACACACTCATGCAAAAACTCACACACCCCATCCACCCACACATACAAATATAAACAACATGCGCACACACCCATTTACCCACCCCAACACACATAAATACACTCACACATGCATACATCCCCCAAATACACACACCCTGCTCCTACCCAAGACACACACACACACACTCTACAATTCTTCCTACATTTCCTCCCAAGCATTCCTGTCTTTGGCTGTCTGAACACGTGCAAGGCAGTCCGAGTGCCTGCTGAGCCAAGCCCAGACGTCTGGTTCTCATTTAGCTTGGGCTGGAGAAGAAAATATTTGGAGAGTTCTGGATCGCCCCAGCAGCCCTGACCAAGGGTGAGCCACCACCCCTCGGCCTCCCTGTGATGCTGCTAGTCTGGAGCGCCCCCAGCAGCTTGACCAAGGGTGACCACCAACCCCTGGCCTCCCTAGGATGCTCTAGTCTGGAGCGCCCCAGCAGCCCTGACCAAGGGTGAGCCACCACCCCTCGGCCTCCCTGTGATGCTGCTAGTCTGGAGCGCCCCAGCAGCCCTGACCAAGGGTGAGCCGCCACCCCTCGGCCTCCCTGTGATGCGCTATCTGGATGAGAGTAGCGCCCCAGCCCACTGCACCAGGGTGGCCGCCACCCCCTCGCCATCCCTGCCTGTCACAAAAGCCTTACTTTCGATCTGGATAAGTCTAGGACCTATAGTAAAGTTGGACAACATTTCAATTCTCTCATGCTTCCCTAGTGTAGATGCTGATCTTAGGTAGTTTTATGTTTTTAATGGAGAGTTGTGCTGGAAAGGAGGTGGAGGGCTGGTAGTGGTCAGGCTAATTCTGCTGGATGGAAGAGAAGGTCATTTGAGGTTGTGTTTGTTCATACCGCTCGGCTGGCGGGGTGAAGAAGTCAGACAGCTCCTGTTGGCCTATCATTTGGTGTGTGTGTGTTTGTTTGTGTGTGTGTGTGTGTGTGTGTGTGTGTGTGTGTGTGTGTGTGTGTGTGTGGCTATGTGGGTTTTTTATAACTCTTGGCTGTAGAGTGAAGTGGTTCTAACACTGCTACTGGCTAGGACTGTGTGTGTGGGGAAGCATGTTTTTACCCCTGAGCTGTGGAATGCACAACAATCACTCAAATGGAATGTGTGTACCAGTGAATGTGTGTACCAGTGTATGTGTGTACCAGTGTATGTGTGTACCAGTGTATGTGTGTACCAGTGAATGTGTGTACCAGTGTATGTGTGTACCAGTGAATGAGTGTACCAGTGTATGTACTGTATGTGATATACAGTGAGGGAAAAAAGTATTTGATCCCCTGCTGATTTTGTACGTTTGCCCACTGACAAATAAATGATCAGTCTATAATTTTAATGGTAGGTTTATTTGAACAGTGAGAGACAGAATAACAACAAAAAAATCCAGAAAAACGCATGTCAAAAATGTTATAAATTGATTTGCATTTTAATTAGGGAAATAAGTATTTGACCCCCTCTGCAAAACATGACTTAGTAATTGGTGGCAAAACCCTTGTTGGCAGTCACAGAGGTCAGACGTTTCTTGTAGTTGGCCACCAGGTTTGCACACATCTCAGGAGGGATTTTGTCCCACTCCTCTTTTGCAGATCTTCTCTAAGTCATTAAGGTTTCGAGGCTGACGTTTGGTAACTCGAACCTGGGATTAAGGTCTGGAGACTGGCTAGGCCACTCCAGGACCTTAATGTGCTTCTTATTGAGCCACTCCTTTGCCGTGTGTTTTGGGTCATTGTCATGCTGGAATACCCATCCACGACCCATTTTCAATGCCCTGGCTGAGGGAAGGAGGTTCTCACCCAAGATTTGACGGTGCATGGCCCCGTCCATCGTCCCTTTGATGCGGTGAAGTTGTCCTGTCCCCTTAGCAGAAAAACACCCCCAAAGCATAATGTTTCCACCTCCATGTTTGACGGTGGAGATGATGTTCTTGGGGTCATAGGCAGCATTCCTCCTCCTCCAAACACGGCGAGTTGAGTTGATGGCAAAGAGCTCGATTTTGGTCTCATCTGACCACAACACTTTCACCCAGTTCTCCTCTGAATCATTCAGATGTTCATTGGTAAACTTCAGACGGCCCTGTATATGTGCTTTCTTGAGCAGGGGGACCTTGCGGGCGCTGCAGGATTTCAGTCCTTCACGGCGTAGTGTGTTACCAATTGTTTTCTTGGTGACTATGGTCCCAGCTGCCTTGAGATCATTGACAAGATCCTCCCGTGTAGTTCTGGGCTGATTCCTCACCGTTCTCATGATCATTGCAACTCCATGAGGTGAGATCTTGCATGGAGCCCCAGGCCGAGGGAGATTGATAGTTATTTTGGTTTCTTCCATTTGCGAATAATCGCACCAACTGTTGTCACCTTCTCACCAAGCTGCTTGGCGATGGTCTTGTAGCCCATTCCAGCCTTGTGTAGGTTCTACAATCTTGTCCCTGACATCCTTGGAGAGCTCTTTGGTCTTGGCCATGGTGGAGAGTTTGGAATCTGATTGATTGATTGCTTCTGTGGACAGGTGTCTTTTATACAGGTAACAAGCTGAGATTAGGAGCACTCCCTTTAAGAGTGTGCTCCTAATCTCAGCTCGTTACCTGTATAAAAGACACCTGGGAGCCAGAAATCTTTCTGATTGAGAGGGGGTCAAATACTTATTTCCCTCATTAAAATGCAAATCAATTTATAACATTTTTTACATGCGTTTTTCTGGATTTTCTTGTTGTTATTCTGTCTCTCACTGTTCAAATAAACCTACCATTAAAATTATAGACTGATCATTTCTTTGTCAGTGGGCAAACGTACAAAATCAGCAGGGGATCAAATACTTTTTTCCCTCACTGTATGGGCGTAAATGCTTGCATGTGGATTCTGTGCATATATGTGTATGCATACGTACTTTTCTGTCTGTCTTTCTGTGTGTGTGTGTGTGTGTTCATACTTCGGTACTTTACGTTTACGAACCAGCCTCCTACTACTTCAAGCCTAGGCAGACCCTCATTCTGCTTTTCTGCATTCATATTTGTGTGTGTGCACGCGTACGCAAATGTCTGTGTGTGTGTTCCTACCTCTTGGCGGTAGGGAAGTAACGGGAGCACTCTGTTCCGTCCCAGGCACAGTAGGGGTCGCGGGCCAGACAGCACTCAGCGCAAGCCTTCCCGTACACCTCACAGCGGTGCAAAGGCATCTGGGAAACGCCCAGCGCCGAGCCCAGGTACAGCTGTTGCTGTTTGGTGGAAAGCTCCATTGCCGTGATGGGGGTGGACTCCTGCAGAAAGACACAGTTAGAGCAGATATAACACTCTGATTCATTTAGACACCCCCCTCATAACTCCCAATGGGATTTCCCCACTCCTCCTTTTTATTTCAGAGCTAGATATTGACCATGTACCCTAGCTTCCCTTCCCAACAAAATTACAGGTGTTCTATCAGACTTCCTTGAATATTTGCCATATAAATGCAATCAATTATAACCTTAACCAGTTTCCCAGTGTGTGACCGTACCCTGAACACGGTCATCTCCTCCAGGACCACCTCTTCCAGGTCATGCCAGCTCTCTCTTGGGATGGTAACCACCTTCAGGACTGTGCCCAGGTCTAGAACAGGAAACATACATCAGTATCTAGTTATCTATCTGACCCTAACCACCTTCAGGACTGTGCCCAGGTCTAGAACAGGAAACATATGTCAACATCTAGCTTTTATTATGTATGAATTAGCATATTCTAGACATCCTTGTACTGTAAAATTACACTTTTCATTTCAGTTGTCCCTTACATACTTCATATAATATTCCAATGGAGAGAATACATAATTAATCTTAGTTATACTTCAATGCATGTCAAGGTGACATTTGCTTGGTTTTTGCGCTCATGCAGCATAACAACCTTGAGCACAAATCATAAATTCCCTTAGGCGTATCAACACTTAAAAAAAAAACATGTACCTTTTTTCATGTAGCATTCAACCAGTTTTAATAAAAAAGTATTATCTAAAAATAAATAAATCGTATCTCATTGACCTGTTCCGATGAACATGACGTCGTACTGTCCGTCCTCTGCCTCCACCTTATCCACCACTAGCTGGGAGAACTGGTAGTCCACGTCGGTCCGCACCACGATTGGACGACCCCCGATGGGGTGCACAGGGTTAAACATGGCCGGGTGGCCCCGCGCGAAGGTGATCACATCATCAGGGAGGTCCTTGGTGGAGTCAAAGCCCCCAAACGTTTTGCTGGGGCACTATGAAGAATAAGAGGTTATAGAGTTAACAAGTCAGTTTTAATACATCTATGGGTCTGGAACTGAAGTCATGTATTTCATGTTGTGCCATGTTATAAATAAGTAGGAAATATGGTTATTGAGGTTATTGTGATGAATACTAATGTTACGTTTCCCTTTCATAAGTCACATGTTACCTTGCTATAACTATTGATATTCATTACTTCTATAAAACTTGCTATGTGTGGCATCAGTCACTTGCTACTTCCATACGTAAATATAGGTTCTAAGTACAGTGGGGAAAAAAAGTATTTAGTCAGCCACCAATTGTGCAAGTTCTCCCACTTAAAAAGATGAGAGAGGCCTGTAATTTTCATCATAGGTACATGTCAACTATGACAGACAAATTGAGGAAAATAAATCCAGAAAATCACATTGTAGGATTTTTAATGAATTTATTTGCAAATGATGGTGGAAAATAAGTATTTGGTCACCTACAAACAAGCAAGATTTCTGGCTCTCACAGACCTGTAACTTCTTTTTTAAGAGGCTCCTCTGTCCTCCAATCGTTACCTGTATTAATGGCACCTGTTTGAACTTGTTATCAGTATAAAAGACACCTGTCCACAACCTCAAACAGTCACACTCCAAACTCCACTATGGTCAAGACGAAAGAGCTGTCAAAGGACACCAGAAACTAAATTGTAGACCTGCACCAGGCTGGGAAGACTGAATCTGCAATAGGTAAGCAGCTTGGTTTGAAGAAATCAACTGTGGGAGCAATTATTAGGAAATGGAAGACATACAAGACCACTGATAATCTCCCTCGATCTGGGGCTCCACGCAAGATCTCACCCCGTGGGGTCAAAATGATCACAAGAACGGTGAGCAAAAATCCCAGAACCACACGGGGGGACCTAGTGAATGACCTGCAGAGAGCTGGTACCAAAGTAACAAAGCCTACCATCAGTAACACACTACGCCGCCAGGGACTCAAATCATGCAGTGCCAGACGTGTTCCCCTGCTTAAGCCAGTACATGTCCAGGCCCGTCTGAAGTTTGCTAGAGTGCATTTGGATGATCCAAAAGAGGATTGGGAGAATGTCATATGGTCAGATGAAACCAAAATATAACTTTTTGGTAAAAACTCAACTCGTCGTGTTTGGAGGACAAAGAATGCTGAGTTGCATCCAAAGAACACCATACCTACTGTGAAGCATGGGGGTGGAAACATCATGCTTTGGGACTGTTTTTCTGCAAAGGGACCAGGACGACTGATCCGTGTAAAGGAAAGAATGAATGGGGCCATGTATCGTGAGATTTTGAGTGAAAACCTCCTTCCATCAGCAAGGGCATTGAAGATGAAATGTGGCTGGGTCTTTCAGCATGACAATGATCCCAAACACACCGCCCGGGCAACGAAGGAGTGGCTTCGTAAGAAGCATTTCAAGGTCCTGGAGTGGCCTAGCCAGTCTCCAGATCTCAACCCCATAGAAAATCATTGGAGGGAGTTGAAAGTCCGTGTTGCCCAGCGACAGCCCCAAAACATCACTGCTCTAGAGGAGATCTGCATGGAGGAATGGGCCATAATACCAGCAACAGTGTGTGAAAACCTTGTGAAGACTTACAGAAAACGTTTGACCTGTGTCATTGCCAACAAAGGGTATATAACAAAGTATTGAGAAACTTTCGTTATTGACCAAATACTTATTTTCCACCATAATTTGCAAATAAATTCTTTAAAAATCCTACAATGTGATTTTCTGGATATTTTTTCCTCATTTTGTCTGTCATAGTTGACGTGTACCTATGATGAAAATTACAGGCCTCTCTCATCTTTTTAAGTGGGAGAACTTGCAGAATTGGTGGCTGACTAAATACTTTTTTTCCCCACTGTATCAGTTGTGAATTACTTGTATTTGCCTATTAGCTTCTAAGTAGCAGCTATGAGGTGCTATAACTTGTCATAACCCCCATATGACTTACCGTGCCAGGGCGGGGGTAGGGCACCCTCCCCTGGAAGGGTACCCACTGGTAGGTGGGCCCATCTCTGTGGGCATAGGGACCCAGGAAGACCCTCCGGATGTCTGCCATGTTGTACATACACACTGCTGAGCCTTTGAATATGTTACTGTAGAGGGTGTAGGGAGGAGAGAGAGGAGAGAGAGAGAGAGAGAGAGAGAGACAGAGGACAGAAGACAGAGACAGAGAGAGCAGAGAGAGAGAGAGAGAGAGATAGAGAGAGAGAAGAGAGACTGAGAGAGCTATCATAGAAGATAGAGCCGAGACGAGACGAGGAGCAGAGACTAGAGACAGAGACAGGACAGAGACAGCGGGAAACGAATCACTAGGAGTGGGGGAGAAAAAGACAGTGAGACCCATCACCATCACAAGACAATAACAAATGCAGGCCTGATATTAAAGCTGTACTAGAAGACAGAATCAAAGCTCACCTTGACATACAACAGACAGACCAGGAAGAATGTTGTCATAATTTAATGGAGAGGATGACGGTTAGAAACATGGCTGTGATAGAATCCAGCTTCCAGAGAATGGACAGGAATTTAGGCCGGTTACCAACGAGCGAGACTATAATTCACTGCTAATGGAATACAGTTGGAGGGAATGATCGGAATTCTGTGTTGCAGTATTCCACCACTGTAGGTATTCCAATGGACAATTCCATCATGTATTCCAAGTGGTAAAGTGTATCCGTGTGAATTGTAGGGCTAGACAGAATAATTTCCAAGAAATTATTCAAGACTATAAAAATTCCTCTAGAATGAATTCAAACAAATCCATATACTACCATAAAATATAAAATAATTCCTTTTACTTGACTAAATGCACATAATACTGATTATTTATGGACATACAGTAGTTTAGGGTACATACCATATTCCCCTGTCCCTTGGGTAAAGTAGTGCACTGCACTATATAGAGAATAGTATCAGATTAACCTGATAAATTGTCTGAACTGATGCGATAACGATAAATATAATGTTAAATTTATAACAGGGGTGTTCAACCTCACAAATATTACAAAAATAAAAAAGTGGAACAAGGCCTATTCAACAAGGCCTATTGAGCAAATGACACTCACTGGAGTATCTGACATAGGTGTCGAAAAAGCAGCCGCGAATAGGCGACCAATGTGACAAGTGCCGCTGGCTGCTGAGAAGCTTGCTTGGACTTGGACATAATGTTTGCCAACACATGGCTAACCTTTGTTTTACCAGCTAAATGGCTGCTCTTAGCGAAAATGTGTTTGGAGTTACCTTTCTAGCTAATAGGCTATGTTAGAGTTTAAACACAATTATACTGTGGGAAGGTCAAAATAATGAAAAACTATCTACCAAATCTATTCATTTTATAATGTTGATTACTTCTCCTTGCCATTATCATTCACCTGATGATTAGACAAGACAGGTGTTAAAGGTTGAAGACCCCTGGTCTATAACATTAATGTGCACCAGTTTTTTTTAAAATGATCCTTTAAACTACTGCTACTAGTTTGATGGTTGTAGCTATTAATTATCCTATTAACAATCACCCATATTAGCAAACAAATGTAATTTCCAACTTCACCTTTCTCTAGTATAGGCTACTTATCTTAACAAAGGATATCAGCAAAATGGCTGTGATAAGTGATCAGTATGGTCGGTGTCAATAATCTTCAGTGTTTCGTCCAAGCTCTACTTGAGATGCAGCAATATGTACTTTGGAGAGAGCGGAGAATGGTTTAGCCTGGTTTCCTGCAGGGTAAATCTAGATATAGACTCAGCAGTGATATAGCCTGGTGCCAGAAGATTGGTACTTAAAGAGATAGTTCTCTCAAAAACTATATTTTGACAATGACCATTGGAGTTGGCTATACAGCACAAACTGATCTGGGACCTTGGCTATAAAGCACAAACTGATCTGGGACCTTGGCTATAAAGCACAAACTGATCTGGGACCTTGGCTATAAAGCACAAACTGATCTGAGACCATAGCTATACACCACAAACTGGTCTGGGACCTTGCCTACACAGCACAAACTGATCAGGGACCAGGCTAGCATACCGTGACAATGACCATAGGAGTTGGCTATACAGCACAAACTGATGTGGGACCAGGCTAGCAGTGATGTGGGTGGCATAGGAACATCTGCCCACCCTGAACCCCAGAGATTAGTAAAGCATTAAAGATTAATGGAGGAGCTTTTGTAAAATGTTAATTAGGGAGAAATGTAATTAACCGCCGGGCATACACATACACTCTAATCTCCAATCCCTGACACGCCTGAATGGTGGACAGACACTAGTGCATATTGAATGCACACGCACACCCCTCTGGTATCAGTACCATCGATCTACCAGCGGCAGCCTATGGGCCTCATTAAGTGGAATATTAAAAGCCTGTCCCCTGAATCCCCAGCTCTATTCATCTCTGAAACAGGCCACTTACAAAAACAATTAAACCAGTCTAATTCCTCAAAGCCTGTAATTGAATTTTCAAGTGCTGTATTCCACTGCATGCATTAGAGATGGTGGAGAGGAACAGACCCACACAGTGAATGGTTAAACGAAATGATGGGCCTGTTTTGTTTGGCAACGGGGTCTCTCTCTCTCTCTCTCTCTCCGAGGATTGGCCGTGGAGAGTCTCCTCTAGAGAGACGCGCACGTCTATAGGACTTGGTAGGAGAGCAGAGAGGATAGAGAGGATGATAGAGATCTCTCGAGACGGCGAGAGAGGATAGAGAGCGCAATCTGATATGGCGATAAGATAGATGAGGCGAGGACTATATAGCTCGTATATCCTGCTCATATCTCCTCTCTATTCTCTCTCCTCTCTCTCTCTCTCTCTCTCTCTCTCTCTCTCTCTCTCTCTCTCTCTCTCTCTCTCTCTCTCTCTCTCTCTCTCTCATTATTATTATTAGGTCTGTGATTAATGATGAAGTGTTTGTCCTAATCGTGCAGCGGCAGCTCCAGACAATGCCGCCCGAACGCCGCCAGCCGCCTAATCCATCATCTGAAGAAGCCCCCCTTGCCACCACTGTTTTTCGCCTCCCGACGCTATTAACTCGCTTACTTCATCTCGTACCGCCCAACAGTGTGTACAGTACAATAGAACCACAGCTCTGGAGGTTACCCCTGTCGAGGCTTGAGCGTCGGCCAGGGAGAGGGAGACGTTCCTGGGGGAGCGAGGATTGTGTGTCCCCCCCTCCCCTCCCCTCCCCCACCCCACTACCTCTCCACCACCTAATCAGATTTAGCTCCAAGGTTCCACAGAGTTTTACAATGAAAGGGGACAGATAGCAGAGAACGGGGAATTGGCTATAAGGGATCTCCAATTTGAGGGGGAGGTAAGACGAGGTGATTTCTGGCCACCTGTAAGTGGATTAAAGGGGAGAAAACTGATTTTATAAAGGATTGTTTAGCCTTACAGAAAGAGAGAGAGGACAGTAGAGATATGAGCTTTGTGTGTTTTAGTCGTTTGTCTAGAATGGTCAGTGCTTTCACTGTTATACAGTACAGATCCCCTAGCAACAAAGACATGACAAACCACAAAAAAACAGTCACACACAAATGGTATTACCATTGTGGTCTGTTGGAACACATAGCGCCTAGCAGTGCATGTGTACTATGATCAATAGTAGTTGTATTGAACACACATAAAGGCACAGTAGGTTTTATGAATCATAAATATCTAGATCATTACCTAGAAGTGGTGAATACAGCATAGATCACTGGGTTCTTAGGATCTTTGGAGCTCATTAGAAAGACATCCTCTGAAACACATGGAAACAACATTAGCACATTAGCACATTAGCACAACCATCCAAACATCATACAGTGTTTCAATGAAACAATGCTACGATACGTACCCCTCTTGGGTAGAAAGTAACCACAGAGAGGCTCACACACACACACACACACAGTTCCTTACGCAGCTCGTCGAAGTGTGTGTCGATGCCGTTGAGGCCTGGCACTGAGCAGGTCAGTCTGGCCTTGAGGAAGGTGGTCCACTTGTTGACCAGACTCCTGTGACCTCCCAGGTCATTCTGCAGGGACAGGCACACACAAACACACACACACGTTACACACAGATAGCCTATACGCAAGCATGCAAATCCACAATATATAAGACTTGTGTGAATTCAGCTTTGGTATTGGGGAACCAAATGAGAATATTTCATCTACGTACTGTATGTGACATATATTTGTGTCCCTGTGAATGTAACTGTGTGTGTCAGTTTAATATATCCATGATGTTTGTGTGCGTGCATGCTAGTTTGTTCCTGTGTGTTTTGTGTGCGTGCATGCTAGTTTGTTCCTGTGTGTTTTGTGTGCGTGCATGCTAGTTTGTTCCTGTGTGTTTTGTGTGCGTGCATGCTAGTTTGTTCCTGTGTGTTTTGTGTGCGTGCATGCTAGTTTGTTCCTGTGTGTTTTGTGTGCGTGTCCATGCGTCCATGTGTGTTAGCGTGTCTGTCCGTGCATACCATGGGTGCTTGTGTGTGTGTGTGTTGTTACCTTACACAGTTGTCCTATGCGGGCGATGGTGGCCTTGCCAGTGTGTTCTCCGTCCATGGCGTTCTCTTTGAAGAACAGGAAGATCTTGTCATCCTCAGGGTTGTCACTCTCTGGGATCAGGTTTACACCTACAAACCTTGGGTCTGAAACACACATGTTAACAATTAAACGGGTACAAACACACACACACACACACTGCTAACACACATGATCACACATTCAAATACATATGTGCAAACACAGATACATGAGTACCCAAACAAACACCAGCTTGATAAACAAACAATGACTCATTTTCGCCAGGGCTTAACCATGAAACCCTCATATCCACATTAAACCAACCACTATCTAATTCCACCATGTCCTCCATCCTCCAGTCCTCCATAACCTCTATTATAAGACACCTTCATCCTCCAGAACTCCTATTAGAAGACACCTCCACCCTCCAGTCCTCCATAAACCCTATATGAAGACACCTCCATCCTCCAGTCCTCCATAACCCCTATATGAAGACACCTCCATCCTCCAGTCCTCCATAACCCCTATATGAAGACACCTCCATCCTCCATAACCCCTATATGAAGACACCTCCATCCTCCAGTCCTCCATAACCCCTATATGAAGACACCTCCATCCTCCAGTCCTCCATAACCCCTATATGAAGACACCTCCATCCTCCAGTCCTCCATAACCCCTATTAGAAGACACCTCCATCCTCCAGTCCTCCATAACCCCTATTAGAAGACACCTCCATCCTCCAGTCCTCCACAACCGCTATATGAAGACACCTCCATCCTCCATAACCCCTATATGAAGACACCTGCATCCTCCAGTCCTCCATAACTCTGATATGAAGACACCTCTTCCCTACAAACACATATGACTCTGATTCTATGCAATATACACTTCAGTATGCGTCCTGAATTAAATTTTTACATTTTACATTTTAGTCATTTAGCAGACGCTCTTATCCAGAGCGACTTACAGTTAGTGAGTGCATACATTTTCATACTGGCCCCCCGTGGGAAACGAACCCACAACCCTGGCGTTGCAAGCGCCATGCTCTACCAACTGAGCTACACGGAGCAATGGCACCCTATTCCTTATATAGGACCAGCTGACATCATGTCAGTGATTGTCTCGTTAACACAGGTGAGAGTGTTGACAAGGACAAGGCTGGAGATCACTCTGTCATGCTGATTGAGTTAGAATAACAGACTAAGCTACCACCAGTCCTGTGTCATGCCAACAGTAAAGCATCCTGAGACCATTCATGTGTGGGGTTGCTTCTCAGCCAAGGGAGTGGGCTCACTCACAATTTTGCCTAAGAACACAGCCATGAATAAAGAATGGTACCAACACATCCTCCGAGAGCAACTACTCCCAACCATCCAAGAACAGTTTGGTGACGGACAATGCCTTTTCCAGCATGATGGAGCACCTTGCCATAAGGCAAAAGTGATAACTAAGTGGATCGGGGAACAAAACATCTAAGTTTTGGGTCCATGGCCAGGAAACTCCCCAGACCTTAATCCCATTGAGAACTTGTGGTCAATCCTCAAGAGGCGGGTGGACAAACAAAAACCAACACATTCTGACAAACTTGATTATGCAAGAATGGGCTGCCATCAGTCAGGATGTGGCCCAGAAGTTAATTGAGAGGCCGGATTGCAGAGGTGTTGAAAAAGAAGGGTCAACACTGCAAATATTGACTCTTTGCATAAACTTAATGTAATTGTCAATAAAATCATTTTGACACTTATGGAATGCTTGTAATTATACTTCAGTATACCATAGTAACATATCTAGTAACAAACTTTTGACCACGACTGTACATAGGGAATAGAGTACCATTTGCAGCTTTCGGAGTGCGAGGAAATCAAACTCTTAAATGACTTGAGCCCAGAGCCTAGGGCTTGGATATCCCTGGCTAGAGGGATAGAGCTCTTTACGGAAAACTGATCTGGGAGCAGTCAGTCACGGAGGCGTTGGCACGGGAAAGGCAAGATGGCGTTTCGCCAACACGACCGAGTTAGAGAGAGCAACATGCGGGGCCGTGTTACGGTGGCGGTAATCTCCACACACATACACACACACATACACACACACAGACACACACACTGACACACACACAAGGGTGCCAATATATTAGGCCGCAACTGTACAGTATATCCAAACACACACACACACACACACCACACAGACACCACACACGACACACACACACACACACACACACACACACACAGACACACACACTGACACACACACAAGGGTGCCAATATATTAGGCCGCAACTGTACAGTATATCCAAACACACACACACAGACACACACACACACACACACACACAGACACACACACACAGACACACACACACACACACACACACAGACACACACACACACACACACACACACACAGACACACAAGGGTGGCAATATATTAGGCTGCAACTGTACAGTACATCCACACACACACACACCATACAGGATGTGGCCGTGAAAAGGGAGACCCCTGGCCAAAGCAGGACCTTTACACCTCCAGATTTATACGGTCTCCATGTGGGTGCGAGTCCCACACACAGATATGCAAGTACACACACACACACACCACGACGGCTGCACTCATGCCATTCAATACAGTTAATGTTGGACAAAGGCCACTTCATTGGTCGTGGGCTTAACTATAACTCCAAGTTAGGAGTGTTAACAGATCGGGAGGATGTGTAAATAAATGGCTTGGCCACAGTCTGCCTGGCCAACCTAGGGTCTAAAGCCTTTTGAAGTGCATACCTATTCACATAGCCATTAAGGATTCTCTCTGAAGTATGAATACCATGCTTACCATTCATAAGAGTCTAGAGTCTATAATAGAATAGAACCCATTTTGGTAATCCCCAAATTACCATAACCAGAGAGGATTTATCCGGAGCGAATGGATGGAGAGGCAAACAGATAATAGGAGGATTAAGGTGAGAAGATGACCTTTTTGGTAAATCGCTTTTTATGAATATGTCACGGCATTCATCACCATGGAGTGGGTTTGGGGGGTTCACTGTTCTGTGAATGGGAGGTGGGGCTGTAAGGGGGTAGTGGGGGGTTGAAACTTGACGTCGCTGCCGGAAAACAGCTGAGGGGATTAACTCCATGGGAAAGAAAATGGACGGCGGGGGAAAAAAAACATAAATTGACCTTTTGTGCGGCAGCCATTAAGTCCTTGGCTATGCAGACAGACTGACAGAGTGAGGGCTCCTCTCCTTCCTACCCCTGGGTAATCTCACCAGCACCAGCAGCCACACACATTCATACACACACTGACTTTATGAATGGGATCTGATATCTATGTTGGTCTTTGAATGGGAATCATCAGAGATACTCAGGGCTTATAGATAGGACTAAGCTCTGTCTGACAGCTATTTAAACCAATGAATGGTGTCCTCTCGCCAATTGACCAATGAGAAGGTTCCTTTGATGCGCTTTAACGGATAATGTGTATCATATCTGTATTATACTATCAAGAGCCCCCTCTCCTATTGACCAATAAAAAGGACTGATTCATCTCATTTCAGCCTGTAACGGTTGTCTGACCTACTGTGTCATATCATCAACGGTTCCCTCTTGTTCATTCCAATCAGTTATACTTCTGCAAACACTATTTAATCAATCAGAAGTGTCTAATATGATTTTACAGGAAAATAGGTATTTGCTTTAATGTGATCTAGCTGTATAATTAAGGATACATAAAGAAGATATTAAATCACTGTGTTGTACCATTGAGCCATCTAGAATCATGCTGCTCAGTCCTGATAGGATGATGCTCCCCCAGGGTACGGAAGATGGCAAAGTCCCTTCCCATGAAGTCTGCCGACGTGCCAGAGTACAGCTCCCCATCTGCCAATCAGAAACCAGGGTCATCAACAATCAGCCAATGAGATTAGAGATGTGTCAGGTGTCAGGAAGTCCCCCCACGAACTCCAACCAATCACAAGTGTGATTAGAGTCGGACTCACCTAACATGATGGACGCAGAGAGCATCTTGGGGTCGTAGGGGCTTTTCCCCCGGCCGTTCTCGAAGTGGGTCAACTCCAGTCGAAAGATGTTGTCCTGAAGGGAAAGATCAATGTTCAAGAATAGCCTGTAGGAAGCCCATTTAGAATATTCCAAAACAACTATATAGGGAATAGTGTCATATTAGTGCACTACATAAGGAATATGGTTTGCAAGAAGTTCACAAAATGGTGAATAGTGTGTCAAATTAGTGCACTATATGGGACACAGTGTGTCATTGGAGACCTGAAACCACGTACTGTGGAGTAGAGCTGTACCTTATTGACCCTTGTAGATGTATATTAATGACTGACAGACCCCGTCATGCAGGTCAATCTATGTCAAATAGCACCACACACACACACACACACACACACACAGAACCCATTATATTAAGGCAGGACAAGATAGTGGTTTCCCCCCCTTTCCACAGTTGAACAGTTACACTGTGTGGGAACATTGATTAAGCTGCATCTGCTTATCAAGATGATTGATTAAACTGTTGTGTGGGGAAATGATTTCCGCTTGTTAATGTGGGCCTGTGTAATGAGCTTTTTTCCCACTTTGCACAAATGAAATCATTGATTAGAAACACTGAATGAGTGGGAAATAGTCACACCAGAAAATAATTATCTAGTCCCTTGTCTCGCATTGAGACAATGGTGCAATTTGAGATTCTAATGGAGGTTAGAGGGGGTGGGTTGTGTGTGTGTGTGTGTTGGTGCCCCTTACCTCTGCCCGTTTGCCCATCTCCAGGTAGGCACAGATGGGGTGGAAGGCCCCTGTACCACAGATATACAGGTGGGTGGCGTTGTAGGGCTGGAGCACTCGGATGAAGTTGGAACACTCTTTCTGAAAGGAGATGAGAGACAAACACCTCATCAAGTCTCAAACTCTCAAACAAACAACACTCACACGTTAAAGCTGGGATCCTTAAAGGTGAAACAGCCATGTCTGTTTGGGATATTACAACAAAGAAGTTACTAGAAACAACAGGCACTATTTTTCCCCTCAGACGTCATTGCATGTGTGATAGAAGAGCACAATATGCAGTGCTATTTGTTTTATCATGCTGCGTGACGCTACTCAGCTCAGCAACAAAAACAATAACGACGGTGGTGATGCCAGTGGTGCTGTTTCTCCATGATGGTGCCAGTGGTGCTGTTTCCCCATGGTGGTGCCAGTGGTGCTGTTTCCCCATGTTGAGGATTCCATAATTAAGTGTCCACATAGCATCTAGCAATTATTGTATCAGTGTAATTATATACAGCTACAACTAAGCAAAATAAGCAACTATTCAGTTAATATGCTAATAACTACTTTGAACCACTGTTTTTTCCAGTTTTGCTGATTGCAGTTCAATCATTATTTGAAGTGCCTTATCTGCAGTTATCTTGATCAGCTGAGCTACCACATTCTGCCTACCAAAGTAGTTCTAGAATACAGAGTAAACTACAGGACATAGTGAGGAAAATGTGTGTTCATGCTTCAGCTGTCTTAAAGTGCTGTAGGTGCAACCCAAAACAGATTTGATTTGATCACTCCAGGCATAAATAAGACTTGGTAGTTGGCACTACCGGAAAGCTCCTGCAATCTGAAGTAGGCGTTTCCAGTTCCAGTTGCTGTGGTAAATTGGTTGTGAAATTGAGTGGCGTTCAGTATTGCTGAAGGAAATCCCACCTGTGAGCCAAATCAGGCCCTGGCTGTGTCCTAAATGCACCCTATTCCCTTTATAGTACACTATTTTTGACCAGGGCCCATAGGTAGACCCAAAGGTAATTTGGTGCCATTTGGGATGCATCCCATGTTCACATCAGATCTCTAATGATCCGTCCGTCCGTGTGAGTCCGTCCGTGTGTGTGTGTATTCACGTCAGATCTGTAGTGATCCATCTGGTTGGATTTACTGAAGGTATTTGGAGTCCCAGCCCCAGCACATGTGAATAGTCCCAGTGATGGGAGACTGTTTATGCTAACCCTAATGAATGGGATTAGTTCATGTTCTAGGCCTCTGGTGAGTATTCTACAGGGTTCAGTAGGGTACACACATGCTAAAAAGATGAAGGCACGATTCATTGATGAGGAATACACACCTTGAGTTGACTGACACACACACACACACACACACACAAAGCCCATTCCAGGTTAATACATACACACACACACATATCTCTTTCCCGGGTCATTAAGAAAATAAATACGGACCTTCTGTGTCAATAAAAATTCTAAACCGAAGGTTTATGTTCCGTCTGCACTGAGCTACCTCTAGTCTCAGGGATGCTAACTCCTCAGGCTTCCCTGTCCCTCACTGCAATTAGACATTACATTTATTTCCTTGCTTCGCTAATAAGTAAAAGCAGGACAGTGGAAGGGCCAAAAAGTAGTTTAAAAAGGCTGATAGTTCAACAAATAGAGAAAATAGAAAACAAACCATTCCTGGAGTATATCACTCACATAATAAATAGTATGTATACCTTGGCCTATCTTCAATCATATACAACATATTATCCAACAATAAGATGGCCAGAATGTCACACCCTGGCTCTGGGACTCATTATGTTGAGCCAGGGTGTGTTCATTTCTATGTGTGTATTTCTATGTTGGTGTTCATTCTAGTTTGTTGTATTCTATGTTTGCCTGAGTGACTCCCAATCAGAGGCAACGAGTGTCAGCTGTTGGCTGGTTGTCTCTGATTGGGAGCCATATTTAAACTGTATGTTTTCCCTTTGTGGTTGTGGGTTTTTGTTCCGTGTTCGGTCATTGATACCGTGGACGTCACGAGTCGTTTCTTGTTTTGTTTCGTGCTTTAACTAATTAAAGTCATGTTTGTTCATCACGCTGCGCCTTGGTCTACTCCTTACCCTGACGATCGTGACACAGAAGTTATACTACACTGCTCAAAAAAATAAAGGGAACACTTAAATAACACATCCTAGATCTGAATGAATGAAATAATCTTATTAAATATTTTTTCTTTACATAGTTGAATGTGCTGACAACAAAATCACACAAAAATTATCAATGGAAATCAAATGTATCAACCCATGGAAGTCTGGATTTGGAGTCACCCTCAAAATTAAAGTGGAAAACCACACTACAGGCTGATCCAACTTTGATGTAATGTCCTTAAAACAAGTCAAAATGAGGCTCAGTAGTGTGTGTAACCTCCACGTGCCTGTATGACCTCCGTACAATGCCTGGGCATGCTCCTGATGAGGTGGCGGATGGTCTCCTGAGGGATCTCCTCCCAGACCTGGACTAAAGCATCCGCCAACTCCTGGACAGTCTGTGGTGCAACGTGGCGTTGGTGGATGGAGCGAGACATGATGTCCCAGATGTGCTCAATTGGATTCAGGTCTGGGGAACGGGCGGGCCAGTCCATAGCATCAATGCCTTCCTCTTGCAGGAACTGCTGACACACTCCAGTCACATGAGGTCTAGCATTGTCTTGCATTAGGAGGAACCCAGGGCCAACCGCACCAGCATATGGTCTCACAAGGGGTCTGAGGATCTCATCTCGGTACCTAATGGCAGTCAGGCTACCTCTGGCGAGCACATGGAGGGCTGTGCGGCCCCCCAAAGTAATCCCACCCCACACCATGACTGACCCACCGCCAAACCGGTCATGCTGGAGGATGTTGCAGGCAGCAGAACATTCTCCACGGCGTCTCCAGACTCTGTCACGTCTGTCACATGTGCTCAGTGTGAACCTGCTTTCATCTGTGAAGAGTACAGGGCACCAGTGGCGAATTTGCCAATCTTGGTTTCTCTGGCAAATGCCAAACGTCCTGCACGGTGTTGGGCTGTAAGCACAAACCCCACCTGTGGACGTCGGGCCCTCATACCACCCTCATGGAGTCTGTTTCTGACCATTTGAGCAGACACATGCACATTTGTGGCCTGCTGGAGGTCATTTTGCAGGGCTCTGGCAGTGCTCCTCCTGCTCCTCCTTTCACAAAGGCGGAGGTAGCGGTCCTGCTGCTGGGTTGTTGCCCTCCTACGGCCTCCTCCACGTCTCCTGATGTACTGGCCTGTCTCCTGGTAGCGCCTCCATGCTCTGGACACTACGCTGACAGACACAGCAAACCTTCTTGCCACAGCTCGCATTGATGTGCCATCCTGGATGAGCTGCACTACCTGAGCCACTTGTGTGGGTTGTAGACTCCGTCTCATGCTACCACTAGAGTGAAAGCACAGCCAGCATTCAAAAGTGACCAAAACATCAGCCAGGAAGCATAGGAACTGAGAAGTGGTCTGTGGTCACCACCTGCAGAACCACTTCTTTATTGGGGGTGTCTTGCTAATTGCCTATAATTTCCACCTGTTGTCTTTTCCATTTGCACAACAGCATGTGACATTTATTGTCAATCAGTGTTGCTTCCTAAGTGGACAGTTTGATTTCACAGAAGTGTGATTGACTTGGAGTTACAATGTGTTGTTTAAGTGTTCCCTTTATTTTTTTGAGCAGTGTACATTAATGTGTAACCTGTTTCCACTATAAGGTCAACTTAAAATACCAGATTTTTGTGTGATGGCTGCTAAAAGTCATTGAAATGTAACTGGACAGGATTGAAGGATATCAACATTGAGTTAAACTTTGGCAGTCAACCCATAGTCACAACAACAGTTCCAGTGTCCCTGTCTGTGTTCAATCAGCGTTCACCTCCCACATTACAAGTCTTTCTGTGGAGCAAACCAACAACCTCTAAACCCGGATATGCTCCACGACCGTACATGGTTCACAACCATGACCGTTACAAGGGTTGCTTGTGTGAACGTCTTCTTAATGACTTTACCTTATGGGCTTCCTAACATTCCGGCAACGTTTTGACAATGACAGGGCAATGTAAGAAACAATGTTTTCCTCCATCATTCTCACGTTGCTATTATATACATTGTAAACTGTCTCATTAATTATCTTACTGACAGACAGAGATGTTTAGGTTTTCTCATGGTCGTTAGACTCATTTCCAGCCAGGCAGTTTGTGTCTGTGTGTGTGCGAGTGTTTGTGTTTGTGTGTGTGTGTGTGTGTGTGTGTGTGTGTAATATTGAGTGCATGTTGTGTGTGTGCCAAGGCACTGACAGACATTTACTCAGCCTAGTCAGACATGCTACTCAGCAATTTTCTAGGTGAAAAATGACTTCTCTACACACAAACTGTGTCGTTACCTGAATACCACTGCATCCTCTGTGGAGAGAAGGGTCATTATTGCGAATAACAGATTACTTTCCCTGGAAACGACGGTAAATTAGTAGGCACCTTTGTTTAAGGTAGATGGTTGAACTTGTTTTGAGAGCACACAGTGAACCTAACATGCAACATTCTGTAGATAAAACGAACTTCTGGACTAAATGAGAATCATTACTCACTCTGCAGTGTGTTGAACCATTCTACATATTCTGAATCACTTGTCTGTTAGGGCTGGGAATTGCCAAGGACCTCACGATACGATATTATCACGATACTTAGGTGCTGATACGATAAGTATTGCAATTATCACGATTCTATATGTATTGCGATTCGATACTGTGATTTTATTGCGATTTTATGTTCCAAACATATTGCCTTCAGAAAGTATTTATACCCCGTGACTTATTCCACATGTTGTTGTGTTACAGCCTGAATTCAATATATTATTTTTTTCTCCAATCTACACACAATACCCCAGAATGAACCCCAAGTGAAAACATGCAGTATTACTTTAGTCCCTTGTTGCAAACAGGATGCATGTTTTGGAATATTAGGTTAGTATTGTGGAGTAACTACAATGTTACTCCACAACTACAATGTTACTCCATGTTACTCCACAGCCATTAAACTCTGTAACTGTTTTAAAGTCACCATTGGCCTCATGGTGAAAATCCTGAGTGATTTCCTTCCTCTCCGGAAACTGAGTTAGGGAGGACGCCTGTATCTTTGTAGTGACTGGGTGTATTGATACACCATCCAAAGTGTAATTAATAACTTCACCATGCTCAAAGGGATATTCAATGTCCGCTTTTTTATTTTTACCCGTCTACCAATAGGTGCCCTTCTTTGAGAGGCATTGGAAGACCTCCCTGGTCTTTGTGGTTGGATCGTCGTTGTTTGAAATTCACTGCTCGACTGAGGGACCTTACAGATAATTGTATTTGTGGAGTACAGAGATGAGGCAGTTATTAAAAAATCACGTTAAACACTATTACTGCACACAGAGTGAGTCCATGCAACGTATTATGTGACTTGTTAAGCACATTGGTACACTTGAATGTATTTAGGATTGACACAACAAAGGGGTTGATTACTTATTGACTCAAGACATTTCAGCTTTCACATTTTTTATTCATTTATAAAAATGTCGAAAAACATAATTCCACTTTGACATTATGGGGTATTGTGTGTAGGTCAGTGACCAAAAATCTCAATTCAATCCATTTTAAATTCAGGCTGTAACACAACAAAATGTGGAAAAAGTCAAAGGGTGTGAATACTTCCTGAAGGCACTGTATATCTACTGCAGAGAGACAAGAGAGACCATGAGAATGAGTTCTGATCAGTCAGGGAAATAAGGATGCTGAAAACATGTTGGCTCAATATTTAAAAAGAAGATGGAGAACAAGCTATAGGATGAAAAATACCGGAGTTTTGGCAAAGGTACAGCCGACAGTAGAAAACTTTATTTTTCTGTAGGTCAAATATCTATATAATATCGTCCAAAAATAATATCACAATATGTAGCTGTATCGATTTTTTCCCCCATCGCTATAATCAACCCTCTCAGATGCACATGGACTATGGAATTGGGCAATAATCCATAACTGAATCAAATGAGTCACTTTCCTGACTGAATCCTACCCAACCTACTGAGTCATCTTGTACGAAGCCCAGTGAATCACCAGTAAGACATTTGGACAGAGAGTGCTGTATTGTAGCATTCGTTCCAGGGCTCCAAATTGCGAGTAGAGAAATTCACCACTTAGGAGCTCTGAATGCCTTTATAATGTCCTAATCAAGCATTCGTGCCCACAAAAACGTAGCTTTCATCGCCTCATTTTCTAGAGTAAACATTTTTGCAGCAAGCAAATGCCTCATCAATGTGTGTGTGTGAATGCGTGCATGCATCCGTGCATACGTGTGTGTGTTATACAGTACGTGTGTGTATCTGGTCATGTGTACTGTAAGGAATGTCTGTGTGTATCTGTGTTAGGGCAGGGCTGTGTTTATAACCCAAAAACTTGCCACAGACTATGACCCAAGTGGAACCTCTGTCATTTAGGGACTGAACTACGTAATCCCAACATAATCCTAGAGCCCCCTCCTCTCCACTGCATGTGCACCCAGCCATGAAATTAGAAGCAGATACAACACATTTCGAGGGGTGTGTGTAAACCCCACATGAGATAACACACACAATCTGATACATAACACACACACACACACACTCTCTTTCTGAGATAACGCACACAATCAGATGGCACACCCACACACACTCACTTATCTCTCTCACAAACACACACACACAAACAGACACACACACACACTGAGTTCAGCTGTGCATGCAGAACATTGGTAGATAAATAAACAGAGTGATGTGAGGTACTGCGTTCTTGCCACCGTGCCAACAGGCCAACAGTGAGAGTAGCGTTGTGTGCTCTCTGAGCTGCTCTCTGTACAAACAAACATACACAGCGGGAAAGGAATGCTTCCAGGGGATCACAAGGTCTTGGAAACTAACTAGCAAAGACAGCTGTGCTAGTTTGGATCAACGTTGCTTCAATGTTGCTTCCACGTCATTTCTACATTCAACAAACATTTTCTAAATGTTGAATCAACGTGGAAGATGTTTGGTTGGTTTCACGTTGAATTCACGTTAGTTGACAACTCAATTGAATGTAAGTCAAAACAAGACGTTGAACTGACGTCTGTGCCATGTTGGTCCCTACCTTCCGCTAAGCTAGTCTGCATGTTACTGTACATTATAGCATATGCTAATGCTACATGTACTGTATAAACTCAATGAATTAGGAAAGTCACACATCCTTGATTTTTGTATAGAGTCACTTATTGCATACATCCACATATTGAACACATTCACGGCAATACAATTATTGTATACAGTCACTAACTGTATAAAGCCACTGAAATCTGGGAGAAATGGTATGTTTGATTTTCTTGATTATTTTTCAAGTCTGTTGTTCATCACTCAGTCTACACCTCTTTAACTTGAATGAGACTTCAGCTCCTTTTCATATAGATCACGCATGCAATTCACATAGGTTACTAATGTTGCAGGTAACACACTAACAGCATGTCAGACATGCAAGTTACATTCCCCTGCATAAGCTGTGTGCTAACAAGTTAAAGTATAGCCTGCAGGTAACATACACCACATGCATCCATCTATTATGTCAGGCTACATAGGAGTGACATAAGTGGTCATAAGGTGACTTGAAGAACTTACCCCAAGGTCTTTCCCCGCCCACTTGCACTCGTCCCGCTTTGAGGGCGTGGCTGGCCATGCGATCTGTGGAAAGGAGGAGAGAGGGAGTGTTATAATACGGAACAGAGGAGGGAATGTGTCATGAGAAAGATTATAGAACAACAATATCACATAGAAGTGAGGGAGTGGTATACTAAGGAAGAGTGGAGAGAATGTGTCATATGAACAGAGAGAGTGAAACATCATACAAAACCAGAGAGAGGGAGTGCACAATAATATTATGTAGTGAATTCAGGGGATAGCCTAACCAGGAATTGAACCCAGGTTCCTGCTAATGTTAGTCCAACGTCTTAGCCATTGCATCAAAGGGTCAGAACCTCTGGATGAGTATGCTAAGTGTTGCACGTGGCTTGCTACCTTGTTATGCTGAAGGGAAGTGAGTGTTGAACCATGAAGTTAGAGAGACAGATAGCTTTAAAGGGTGGATAGTGTAAGTCAGCATGTTCCATACAGCAAGTCACTACCAGTTTAGACTGGCTCCTAGCTAGCAACATTAGGTCTAGTCTTATTCACTTGCTGGGTCAAAATGAATTCCCCCCCCAAAACGTTTGGGAACCCCCTGTATAAGCTTTACACTCCTGAAAGTTAAGTAACCAGAGCACTCATGAGGCCCTTTGGAGGGTTGTCCTTATGGTCTTACCATCTGCCACATTCGTGTGTGTGCGTCCCATCGGTGTCACCTGAATTATAAAAACAGAGCGTGTGTTGGGGCCGGACTCGTAATAAGAACTGGAAAAATCATCCACACGCATGAAGGTTGAGGAGTTGAACAAGTCGTAGAAGTGCAGGTACCAGAACGCAGGTAGGTTCTAGAACATGTTTACACACTCACACATGGTATGCACATGGCACTAGGAAAAACACCACACACCGCAGGTTAGCAAACACACACATCACGCACGCAGGCACGCACACACACATCACACCCTTCTATTCATAGCGTATCTCACTTCAAGATCAGCTGAGCTTTTCTCTCAGAGCAAGGGGACCCGCAATGCACATCTGGGTAATTGCATTAGCTTTCCCACTTATCTTTCTCTGCATTATCAAAGATCTGAATAGGGAAAAAAACATCCGCGCCAAGGGCCCAAAATAATTATGTAATTCCCTCATATTTAAATACCCTCTGAAAAGCATGCAGTGTGTGTGTGTGTGTGTGTGTGTGTATTTCTGCACTTAAGCTCCTTTTGGAGTTTCTCCACTGCCTCAGTGCTTCTTGTTCACATCAATCTCCACGTCTGTGATAGCTGTCAGAATCAGATAAAAAGACTCCTAACTCTCCTATAACCTGCTCCAGGTGGACTGATGGAATTATAAAACAGGCCTGTCTGGAAAAAGAGAAAAGGAGGGAGGGAGGAAATCACAGTAATGGACTCCAGAGAGATGAAGAGAGGAGCGAGAGAGCGAGAGAGACCTGAGGGTGAGGTGCAGATTTAGAAAAGGATGGATGGAGAGAGGGGGGAAAAGAAAGATAGAGGAGAGGGGGTCTCAAATAACAAAGAGCTGCTACTCAATCAAAGATGGTCTTTAATTTTAACCCTATCCTGACCGTGAGTGAATAGTTGCTATTCTCATATAGCATGCATCCTAACTAGGGTCTAGAGTATCTCATGGTCAGGTCAAGTGAAAGGAAAACCTCCTGGTCCTATATGGTAACAGTAGCTGACAGTAGGATGTTTGCCATAGCTGCTGATTGGGCAGAAGGGGTACAGGTATTTGATCACACTATGTTCACTAGCCAATCAGCATCATACTCTGTGCTCACTAGCTAATGAGCATGACCTCTGCACTCAGGGATCCAAACTTCCAATTAGGATGGGTTTGGATATAACGTGAACCTAAATCCTGATCATGCCATATAGCAGATCTAGTCAATAGGAATCCGGTCCACCAACTGGTTTAATTACATTTAATAAATTATATTTGTGTCCCCCAACCATCTCCACAGAGGAAAATTGTCCCAATGAAAAAACTGTAATGAAATAGCTCTGCAATATACAGCTGAGAAGTGCATTCTAATTACTCAACCATCCCCCTTTTGCTAATTATTCATACAGGTCATCATAGGAAAGCTCAGTCAGCTTTCAGCTTTTCAGTATTTATGGGAAATGCGGTCCAAGCCTTCTTCTCTCAGAGTTTGATTTGGCAGTGAGGTCCCTTCCATAGCTCCATAGATTTGCTATTATGTGTTTTCATTGGCAGTTCGTAAATAGATGGCTTGCCTATACACTGAACGTCCTGTCTAAATCATACAATATTCACTCTTTAAAACTGGGTTTATTTTATTTCATGTATATGGCTATGTGCCTTTTACTGGAAGGATTGAGAATGAGTGGTCCATTGTATGCCTGTATTGACGCAAGACCCATAGAGCAAATGTTGGTTTTGTGTGGTCATTGGCTCGTCCGTGTGGTCATTGTGTTGTCTTCATAATGTTGACCGTGTGTGCGGTCAAAGAGTAGGACTCTTACCTGTTTGTGCTCTCTGTTGAGATTGACCAGGTCAAAGGAGAAGACGTGGTCCTCGGCGCCCACCAACAGTCTTCCTCTCTCCTCGTCCAATAGGAAGGTGTCGTAGCCGGAGCTGTTGGTGAGGCCGTTGAAGGTGATGAGATTATTGGACTCTACCATCTCTGAAACACACACAGAGGACAGAGCATGGTGAGTCTAAAGCAGATAGACGGACAAACGGATGGATGGAAGAGGAAGAAAGGTGGACAGATGGATGAATGGATGGGTGAGTAGACAGACAGACAGACAGAGACAGGAAAAGATTAGGGTTGCAAAATGTTCCAGAAATCCTGGTTGGAGGATTCCTGGATTTCCTGCTTATTCCCTTGTAATTCCAGGAACCTCCCAACCAGGATTTCTGGAAAACTGGGGAATTTTGGGGAAAGTTACAGGAATTCTGCAACCCTAGAACAGACAGACAAAAATGTCTCGATCTAAAGAGCTGAAATTTAGATACGCTGCATGTCGACAGTCAATGTTACGGTTATAATCAACAGCAAATGAATTGAGGCACAACAGAGTACTGTATGATTCTGTTCCTGGTAAAGTGACATAGACAGATGAAGAATTTCAGTTCTGGGAGTTCAGATTTTTCTAGCTAGACATCTTGATATCTTCATCACTTCTAATAAGGGTCACCAAAAACTGCTATTTGGGATGTCACACAGATCTGGTCAGGCATGGTGTGAGGCCTCTGAGGTGGACACTGCGTGACCCAATCACAACATGACGCAAAAGCTGCCCAAGCATGTGATTGGCTGAATCATTTATAGCCTATCGGGGCAGGGCTGTGTGTGGTCAGTTAAGATGTGCAATACAGTATGTGCAGAGGTATAGTTCCTATAAACCTGTCAGGTCAACTAAACATCCCGCAACCTGAGACAAAACCTCTGAAACGTTTATCACCAAAGGCAACTTTTGATGACACATACAGTAGTAACAGCATGTTGAGACTGCTGAGATAAAGCCAAGCCAGCCTTCACTACACAAACAAAAATAACCAACTCCGAAGACAACAGTGTTGCTGTGTTTTTGCCTCTGGGCCCTCAATGCAAATCAGAATTGATACTCAACCGACCAACCTGGTCGAAAAAAGTTTCTAGAAAATCAAAAAGAATGATTAATATAACAGTTTTTCGGAGGTCGAATTCTGCCCTTCTACGTATCTGCTTCCATTCAGACTACACTCCTTCTATCAGACACCCCTCGACATACTGTAGACATATGGGCAGTAGAGTATCTACAGGTACAGTAAAAACCCATGTCTCAACACCACTCAACACACTAGCTCTTCCATCACCATCCCCACTGACAGTCTGGACTGTGATCTCCTCTGAGCCCACCCTGATTGATGCACGGCTAGAAAAATCGCCCCAAATTGCACCCTATTAACCTTACATAGTGGACTACTTTTGACCAGAGCTCTATGGGTCCTAGTCATAAGTAGTGTACTATATAGGGAATAGGATCCATTTGGAACCTTAACCCTAGAGAAGCCATCTGCGCCCACTCTCCCCGTGTATTGTGGGTAAGATCGTGGACATCTGTGTGTATAGAGAGAAGAGGAGGGGGGGGGGTCAGTGATCCTCTCGTCTGTGTCAACATCACTCCGTATCAAGTGTTCCATGGTATTCCCAATGGGATGAGAGGGGGATGAGGAGGAGAAGAGTGATGGAGGAGGGACTGTGGATCACCCAATAAAGCAGCTCACAGCTCATCTAGGTCGACTAGGGCTGCTTCAAGGCTGAATGTGAGGCTTTTCAAGGTGTGTGTGTAGTGGTTGGTGGTACTGTATTAGTATTGTGCTGTCTGTGTCGCCTATATTACTGACTGACTGACTGAGTGTGTGTGTGTGTGTGTGTGTGTGTGTGTGTGTGTGTGTGGACGTGTTTAACTATACTTGTGGTGACCAGAAGTCCAGAAGAAAAATTTGACCAGCTGGGAACATTTTTTTGGTCCCCACAAGGTCAAATGCTATTTCTAGGTGGTTTAGGGTTAAGGTTAGAATTAGTGTTAGGGTTAGAATTAGGTTTAGGGTTAGGGTTAGGAGCTAGGGTTAGTTTTAGGGTTAGGGTTAGGAGGTAGGGTTAGGTTTAGGGTTAGGGTTAGGTTTTTGGGTTAGGGTTAGGGTTAGGGTAAGAGTACGGGTTAGGGTTAGGGTTAGGTTTAGGGTTAGGATTTTGAATGGGACTGAATTGTATGTCCCCACAAGGTTAGCTGTGCAAGATTGTGTGTGTGTGTGTGTGTGTGTGTGTGTTGTTCATATAGTGGGGAAAAAAAGTATTTAGTCAGCCACCAATTGTGCAAGTTCTCCCACTTAAAAAGATGAGAGAGGCCTGTAATTTTCATCATAGGTACACGTCAACTATGACAGACAAATTGAGCAAAAAAAATCCAGAAAATCACATTGTAGGATTTTTAATGAATTTATTTGCAAATTATGGTGGAAAATAAGTATTTGGTCAATAACAAAAGTTTCTCAATACTTTGTTATATACCATTTGTTGGCAATGACACAGGTCAAACGTTTTTTGTAAGTCTTCACGAGGTTTTCACACACTGTTGCTGGTATTTTGGCCCATTCCTCCATGCAGATCTCCTCTAGAGCAGTGATGTTTTGGGGCTGTCGCTGGGCAACACGGACTTTCAACTCCCTCCAAAGATTTTCTATGGGGTTGAGATCTGGAGACTGGCTAGGCCACTCCAGGACCTTGAAATGCTTCTTACGAAGCCACTCCTTCGTTGCCCGGGCGGTGTGTTTGGGATCATTGTCATGCTGAAAGACCCAGCCACGTTTAATCTACAATGCCCTTGCTGATGGAAGGAGGTTTTCACTCAAAATCTCACGATATATGGCCCCATTCATTCTTTCCTTTACATGGATCAGTCGTCCTGGTGCCTTTGCAGAAAAACAGCCCCAAAGCATGATGTTTCCACCCCTATGCTTCACAGTAGGTATGGTGTTCTTTGGATGCAACTCAGCATTCTTTGTCCTCCAAACACGGCGAGTTGAGTTTTTACCCAAAAGTTATATTTTGGTTTCATCTGACCATATGACATTCTCCCAATCCTCTTCTGGATCATCCAAATGCACTCTAGCAAACTTCAGACGGGCCTGGACATGTACTGGCTTAAGCAGGGGGACACGTCTGGCACTGCAGGATTTGAGTCCCTGGCGGCGTAGTGTGTTACTGATGGTAGGCTTTGTTAATTTGGTCCCAGCTCTCTGCAGGTCATTCACTAGGTCCCCCCGTGTGGTTCTGGGATTTTTGCTCACCGTTCTTGTGATCATTTTGACCCCACGGGGTGAGATCTTGCGTGGAGCCCAGATCGAGGGAGATTATCAGTGGACTTGTATGTCTTCCATTTCCTAATAATTGCTCCCACAGTTGATTTCTTAAAACAAGCTGCTTACCTATTGCAGATTCAGTCTTCCCAGCCTGGTGCAGGTCTACAATTTTGTTTCTGGTGTCCTTTGACAGTTCTTTGGTCTTGGCCATAGTGGAGTTTGGAGTGTGACTGTTTGAGGTTGTGGACAGGCTTTTATACTGATAACAAGTTCAAACAGGTGCCATTAATACAGGTAACGAGTGGAGGACAGAGGAGCCTCTTAAAGAAGAAGTTACAGGTCTGTGAGAGCCAGAAATCTTGCTTGTTTGTAGGTGACCAAATACTTATTTTCCACCATAATTTGCAAATAAATTCATTAAAAATCGTACAATGTGATTTTCTGGATAATTTTTTCTCAATTTGTCTGTCATAGTTGACGTGTACCTATGATGAAAATTACAGGCCTCTATCATCTTTTTAAGTGGGAGAACTTTCACAATTGGTGGCTGACTAAATACATTTTTTTCCCCACTGTATGTATGGCATTATACAGTACGTGTGTGCAGTTCTGTGTGCACGCTCCTGCCTATGTATGCACGTTCATCAGTCATCTAACAGCTTCTCCAGCAGGCAGAGCAGATGTAACCAGAGAAGCAATGTCAAGTAGACAAACAGAGACTGACTGACTGATCCAGAGAGTCTGGAGGCATCGTCAGCGGCTGGCCCATTTCATCACCGGGCCAACAGCCTATCAGATAACCCCTTACTCCTAATCAACCAATCAGCTATGACAGCCCCGGGACAGGAAACAAGTTATAGTGAGCACTAGGAAAAGTGCTTTACAGTGAAGATAATGCTTGAAGAGGTGGACTTATATTACATACAGTAAGTAAAGGGGAAAATGGAGAGAGTTGGTCAGAGAGAAAAGAAGGGAACATATTGAACTGTGAAGGTTTTTAAATGGAGATGGTTTGTCACTGATAACCTGAATACAACTTCTGCTTGATACAAAAACCAAACGGTGAGGAAGAGATGGAGAATAACAGAGAATGGAAGAGGGAGACTTGTGAGAGACAGAGACCAGATGAAGAGAGTGAGACGGATATACCAAGACATTGAACAGAGACAAAAAAAGGAAGACAGACGAGATCTGCTCATCTCAAAACAGAACAGAAAGGTATGCAGCTATGCACTATCCTCTCTTCCTTTCTGTTACTAGTTAGGTAGAGATTCTGCCTCTCTGCCATTTTGGCTCTAGATCTGACAGTTCCCGCCCCCTTTAAAAGCCCTTTAAAAGTGAGCGACTGTTGAACCCTGGAGCCAGGAATGCTCGCTCTCTCCATAATGGCAGCCGTGGAGATCCATTGCGAGAGGTTTCCCCCAGATGGGATGGAGATTAAACACATGCCACATATTTCAACACGTGGTGATCTCAGAGTAAGACAAGGTGGGATGGTAGGCTCAGCGAGGCTTTATCGTAGCTGAGGATCGCCAAGGCTGCGAGGCCGATGGAACTGGGGCGAGACACCTAAGAACCTGGGAGGACACGCTCATTTGGAGACGTGTACACACACAGCACACACACATCACAGTGTTCTTTCTCTCAAACAAATGCAAGGGAGCAGATATACACACACTACACACACACACACACACACACTAGCATGTACTACATACTCTCTGTCTTTCTACGCGCACACATACACACACACACACACACACACACACACACACACACACAC